TATTTTTTTCTTCCTCTTTTCTTTTTAGAACATTTGACCGATTCTCGTTTTTTCTTCTTCTTTTCTTTCTAGAATGTTTGACCGATTCTCGGGTTTTTTTCTTCTTCTTCTTTTCTTTCTAGAACATTCTCGTTTTTTTCTGCTTCTTTTCTTTCTAGAATGTTTGACCGATTCTCTGGTTTCCTACCTCTTTGGTGCTTCATAAAGTTTACCAGATTAAACAAGTAATATTGGTTACACTTTATTTTGATAGTCCACTTTAGACATTCTACTAACTAAGTAACTTTGCAACTACATGTCAACTAGCAGTCGTTAGAGTATTAGTAGACTGTCTGCTTAATATCTTCTAACACTTTATTTTGATGGGTCCACATACTACGTCAACTTATTCTACTAACCCTAAACCTAACGGTCTACTCTGAGAGTTAGTACACATGTAGTTGCAAATTAATGAGAATTAGTTGACATGTAGTTGCAAAGTTACTTACTTAAACATTAAAGTGTTACCGTAATTTTAACACATGATTGTTTTTGATTCAGTGGTGTGAGCGAGATCGAGGGCCGCCTGCCGCGGACCACACTGGTTCTGCTCTGCGGAAACGAGGCAGTGCTAAAGTGGATGAACACCTGTGATCACCTGATGTATCAGGCCCTCGTGGAGATCCTCATCCCTGATGTTCTGAGACCCATTCCTAGTGAGTCTCTCTTCATAGGCATAGCCTCAGAAGGCACAGATCATTGTGGATTAGCATGACACACTTTTCTTCCAGTGTTCTGTACAGTTGAGATACTATAAACTAGGGGTGTATTCGTCATGATATGATACGATACGATATCAATTCTCATACCTACCGATACGATATTTGCCGATACCTCAAAAAATTATACGATACGATTTGATACAGGAGTATATTGATTAGTGGTCGACCGATATTGGTTTTTTGACCGCCGATGCCGATATCTTGGAAAGCCGATATAATGCCGATATAATTTTATTTATCTTAATTAATATTTAAGAAATTTGCTTTCATTTGAAAATGGATTAAAAAATTAATTTTGTAAAATAAACATACTTATACTTTAAATGACAAAGTATTTTTCACAAATAAATATTTAATAAAAATATAATTAAAAAGGAAGTAAACTGTAACCAACAGAGCACTCCGTATTCTGGGAAGTTTGTGTGCATTGGGAATCGTATTTGTTCAAATAAAGCCAAGGTAACACTCATTTTACATACAGCACACAGTGGAAATGACATGAGTATGACAGCGGGCAAATGCATAAAGCGTAGCATAATTTGAAATCACAAATTTAATGTTTAAAGCATTCAATCTGCACGGACCGAAAGTCCGAAAGAGAACACGCGATCATGCAGGATACACATGCACACTTCACAAGATCTCACAACTGGATTCGACTAAGTTTGCAAGGTTTGTGAAATTAAATTATTAGCCATTCAAAGATTTGTTTAAATGAGCACTGTGTGCTCAGGTGCTGCCGCTCTCAGCGCCGTCAAAATAAAAGTCCCGCCTCGAACGCATCGGCCAAACAGAAAACTTATCGGCCGATGCCGATATTTGAAAAATGCCAAATATCGGCCGATATATCGGCTTTGGCGATATATTGGTCGACCACTAATATTGATCAATTTATCAATATTATGAAATTATATACCTATTTTAAACAACCATCTACATTTTTATTAACTCACAAATGCACCCAAAATATGTAACATGAACATTTATCTGAAATTTTCACATCCTGTAGCTAAATTGGGACATTCACAATAAAACTAGGCCTACACTCTTTTTTTAAATAATAATTATAATAAAGAAAAATAAATAATTGGGAAAACAAATAAAAAAAATCAAGTCACACATAAGATCAGTAATCTTATGACATGACAACAGTCAAGAAAGTCTTTTAGGCTTCAGTGTGTAAAATAGTGTAAATCCTCATTAGGAAAATAAATGGAAAAATAAATATTAGGATAAAATTACAAAAGTAAAGCTGTTAAAACCTTGAGACTTTTTTTGGGCTGCTACTATGGCTCAGTGCTAAACATCTTTTCTACACATAACCAAATCACAAGCAGTAGCAGAAAATAAATACAATAGAACAAATTCAATAAACAGTGCTTTTCAGGTTTTTCAGCTCAGTCTAAAAGAGATTTTTAGGCACAGAAATGTATTAATCAAATATAAAATAACTGCATAGTCTTCACTGTATAGCTTAAATATAGATTAATCATTATTGATGTTACAAAGGATGTTTAGTCGGGAGCAGTGAGCACTGCTTTTAATTTTCTTTGACAGCATTAGGTTTATTAGTTTTCTTTCACAGAAAACAACTTCTCACACAGCGCTCAACAACTCCGTCAACAATCCCCAGCGTCTTTTACGCTCGCCTTGTGCCTTCAGGCCGTCCTTATATTGAGTCCTGATACGTGAGTTTGAACGAGAAAAATAATTATCTTCTGCTCCCCAAGCCTGCATTTATTTGATCCAAAATACAGCAAAAGCAGTAATATTGTGAAATATTTATTAAGCGTTAGCGTTAGTTCTGGCAGGTCACATGAGTTAAGCTTGCATCAGCTGATTCTCAGCTGATCACATCTACCTATAGGAATACGACACCTATCGCGGCATTCCTATATAAGCTCTATTCATAGTTATTCAGCAGCTTTTCAGCTTGCTCCGGAGCAAAATAAGCATCGCTGCTCGCAAATCAACTGTTTCAGCGTGTTTCAGAACATCTGAAATCCACATCTAAGATAAGTGAATGCTGGTTTAATCCATATCGCTGTGTATATTACCTGGCCTGCTAATTGAAAAAAGCATATTTGCAGCAGCATTTACGCATCTGTGTTCATACAGCTGGAGCAACACGTAGTCTAGAGCATGTAATCGCTCTGAGGACACGCCGATAGTTAAGGCCATGAGAACAAGTTTAAATGAAACACGCATTCTCGTGTATGCGTTTCAACTGGGGCTCGCTGTATTCAGCGGCATAATCTCAATGTTACGGTTGTTTATTTCTAAGGTTGATGTTTCATTAGCTGTGTGAGTGTGCGGTTGATTTCAGCTGTGTCAGAAGCACGCGTTTATCGCTCCTAATGGCTTCTATACATATAAGAATGTAATATTAATGACCGTCATTCGAAGTATTTCCGCAGTGTATGCTTCCCCTGCTGGACTGCCACTCAATACTTATTAGAGATTCATAATTTCTGATCCGCTTGAATATGTGCTCACGCTGAGAAATGTGAGCATATGAGCATGAGAAATTAGGGTGATATGACGTGTTGATTAAGCATGATCAACTGGCTGAGATCAAGCTGTTCATTTATAAAAAAAATTTAAAAAACACTTCTGTGGTGATTGGAAGGTTACGACTGAGCGCTCAAATGGACACAAGGGATTTAAATATAGACCAATTATTCTAAGCAGTACAAGCAGCGCGTTAAAAAA